TAAATGGTTTTGATAAGAGAGCCAACTCCATTTCATTGCAATTGAAATGAACGTGTTTAATAAAATATGTAGTTGGTAAGGTAAGGATCCGTGCGTGTTGTGTTGGGGGGAAATTTTCGGTTTGAATAGTGTTGACGGTTTACGTGTTCTTACTACAATTATTCTACTACTACTACTACTACTACTACTACTACTACTACTACTACTACTACTACTACTACTATTACTACTACTATTACTACTACTGCTGCTACAATTACTATTAATATTACTACTGCTGTTGTTGTTGCTGCTGCTACTACTAGTAGTTTTACACTACAACCACTAACAATAAATAACAAATTTAAAAAAATTCTGTTTGAATGCCGTTGGTGGTTTATATGTTACAACTGTTTTTTCACCGCTACTACTGCTGCTGCTGCTTCTACTACTGCTACTACTACTACTACTACTACCACTACTACTAATGCTAATATATTTTTTTGGTGATATTTTTACTATTAATTTCATTACTATAGGGATATTAAACAATACAGCAAATTATAAATCATATACTGATCAAGACATCCATGGCTACTACTACTACTACTACTCTACTACTACCGCCATTACTGTAAATACTCTTGCTCCTATTAATACTTCTATCGCTTCTACTATTACCACTATAACTACTACCACTACTACTATTACTAATACAACTACAACCACAACAACTATTACTACAAATAATCTCAGACGGTTCAGTTGTATTTAATGAAATTTGTAAAGTGTTTGCATGGTCCAGATAGGTGAACGCATTAAAAGGTTTTAAGAAGGATCCTATTTGAACAGTGTCCATTTCAGGCATGCATTTGAGATTTCAATGAGTTCAGACCGACTGGAGTGATTAACTTTTGAACGCCGATACTACTCAGTATTAATACTATCCTGGCAAATATTACTGACACAAAAGTTGAATGTGATTATAAACTTGAATATTACTGACACAAAAGTTGAATGTGATTATAATGTTGCTATATTCATATCATTACTTTTTCTAATGCTATTAATCCTACTACTGCTACTGCTGCTTCTACTGCTGATGCTACTACTACTACTACTACTACTGCTACTGCTACTACTACACCACCATTACCACAACTACAACTACTCTTACTGACTACTGATATATATTAAACCAGAGTCATTACGACTAATAAAATCACAACTTATTAATTATTTCAACAACTCCTATTGTTAGGTATATGATGCAATTGTTATCACTGCATGTAATTACAATTGTAGTCATTTTTTGACAACTTTTTTGACATTATGATAAAATTTCTTTACGATCTGGTGTCAACTTGATTTTTAACACTTTTATTGCCGAGGTATATTTACTAATAATATGACTAACCTAGTAATAAAAGTAGTTGTAGTAATAGTAGTAGTAGTAAGAGTGGTAGTAGTAATAGTAATAGTTGTAATAACAATAGTAGTAGTAGTAGTAGTAGTTGCGGTGGTGGTGGTAGTAGTAGTAGAATTACTACATGGTAGATAACGTAGTATCAATCAAAACTCAGAGTAGCAGCTAAAAAATTTGTTAATTAATCTTGCGATCGTTTTTCGATTGATAATTTTTTACACATTTGATTTGCAATACGATAATTATTGTTTTTATCATTATTAATCGCATCGAAGCGGTTGTAAAATAATCAAATCTCCAGATCGTAAAACACACCACAATCGCACACACACATACACACTCACATACACACACACAAACACACGCACATACACTCACACACACACAAACACACACACGCAAACACACACGGACGCACACACACAACCACATACAACACACACGTGGTTAAATGAATACAATGAAATAAACTTATGAATAGTACACATTACAATATATCCAATCACCATTATCCATTCCCTGGGATCAATTACTTGATATTAATTAATTTAAATTGAAACAAGTTATGCAAATGATGAAACAGAAGACACAAATATACTGACACGTACACACACACATACACACACGCACACACATGCACGCACACGCATAAACACATTAATATATACGTATAGATATGTATATATGGTTAAATTTTTGTTATTAAGTAATTAGTTTATTTTACAATCAACATTTGGACAAGCGCTTGTATGTTTGTGTATTTGTATTCTCAAAAGTAATTGTATTTATGTGTGAATGTTTGTACATGTACGTGAATGTAGACAACGTACACATGTGAACATTGTACAGATGCGATGTACATTGCACATACACGCGTGTATATATAAGAATGTGATTAATTTACATCTGTTAGAATCGTCTATAAATGCGACGATACACCTCATAAACTTGGATAGACAGTCATTAATTGGTGATGTTGCAACACGTTTGGTGTTATAATTTATCGTCAGTAGGTGTTCTTATTGTCCTAGGTAAGTTAGATGTTGTGCCCGTCAATTTATACAATCAATCATTTGCACATTGTTATAAGCAATTGTATACATTTATTGACACATTTTTTTTATAAGTTGTTACTGTAAATAAACACGAAGCAAGCATGCCAATAAAAGCATTGCAAATCATCTCATTTTATCTACATTTAAAGCCTTGTAAATTTTTAAATATATATATATATATATATTTGAATGATGGTGAACTTTAAACATCCTAAAAAATTCTTACAATTTCAGATTGAAATTATTTGGATATTTGCTAGGCTGATATTACAGATCGGAGCTTCCTTCATTATTGTTTCGGATCGCGATGACTTCATCATCATCTTCATCATCACTATCTTCATCACCATCATTATCACTAGTTTTAGTATTAGTGTTGATATTATTATCATCATCGTCGTCGTTATCATCAGCATCATCGATACCTCTGCCGTCGTCAACCACACTATACTTCTCTGCGCTGGAGCAACAGCCGATCAACACGTACATCGGCAATATTCGATCATCTCTGGACTACTCGGCATTCAAGATCAATGATGGTAAATCCGATTCTCCATCCTACCGACGAATGATTTGGCATCTGGTAGGCCACTCGTTCGAATAGAGGATAGTTCTGGAAAATTTTCACCAACGAGGTTTTAGATAGGGAGACTATATGTCCGTTTTATCAGCAACATCAGCAGCAGCTTCCACAGCCACAACCA